AACCCAGAACCCTCTGGTCCTGGTTCTCCCGGGGACTCCAACCCAGAGCCCTCTGGTCCTGGTTCCCCCGGGGACTCCAACTCAGCACCTTCTGGCTGTGATGTTGCTAACCACCACACCACCGTGCCGCTCACTTTTTTAAGATGCAGATTTGAAATCATTTTGAACTGCTGTATTTCCCTTAACCCTGTTAAGGGCCTATATAATGAAAGTGGAATGGATAGAATAGATTTGTGTTCGAATCTGTTTCTGGGAATATTCAAGTAAAAACAATTAAATCTGAGGGCTACATCCTTTAAAAGTTAGTTGTCTCGAACCCTTTCATCAGAAACATCTCTTGACGACCACACACACTGATCCCTACAGGCCAATACTGTGAATGTGTGTAAGTGTGTGTGTGTGTGTGTGTGTGTGTGTGTGTGTGTGTGTGTACCTCTGCCTGGTGATCAGGTTGATGTAGTGTCTCAGGGCTGTGTAGTACTTGGCCAGCTCTTCGGGCGGCGCGTCCTCGCCGGGGTTTTCTGGTTTCGGGGGGTAGGCATCTGCCAGCGCTCCCAAACAGACCAGCACACACAGCACAGCGGCCATCAGCACCGTCCACGGCTTCAGCATCACGACCATCTGGAACAGGACAGCGAGGAGGAGGGGGAGGGGTGGATGACTGGGACTCTGTTTGTCCAGTAATCTGAAACTTGGATGTAAAAATGAATCATTGTCTGTAAGCCATCTTCATCTGAGTGCCTTGTTCTCCGATAACGCTTCTGAGAACGCAGAGGGAGTGAGGAAAACGTATGTAGAGGTGTGTTAGCCAGGGAGATAAGTCGATGTGCAATCATGTATAGGGACACATGGCCTCCGGCTTTAGATGGACTCGCTGTCAAAACGTGGCGCTGTTCTTGACTAAAACGAGAACATGTGTCAACATCTTTTCTTTTAGCAGAAACGGGTTTCCCACCTCAAATCTGGATTGAAATTCTGCCTCAAATGTACACTGAGTTTGAATGAAGGATAGCGTGTGGGTCGTACTTACATTCAGCTATTACAGTCTGGTTGCCCAACACGTTAAAGCACTTTTCCATTCACATGCACCCACATAGATTCTTTTTATTTTTGTGCACGTACTGTTTCTAGCTACAGAGTGTTTTTTGGGTCTCAATTACACATGTTCATGGATGCATCATGGGGAATGTGGGGTTCACTGACCCTCTAACGTTGTTTTAGTAAGCCAGGAATTGTATCACTGACTTTCTAATTAGCAAATGACTAAGCTTGGTCATTGTGACTGTCATCGTATTCTCTTTTAATCATTTATTTATTCTTCCCAGTCATTTTCAAGTTAGGGAAGACAAATGTATTAATTTAACATATTTTAGGTACAAAACATTTCAAAGTGCTTTACATTAAATATTAAAAATCAAATGCATTAAAAACAGTTTAGCTTAAAGGCAGAAATTAAGGAATTAAAAAACCAACACCAGACTAAACCATGTTAGTGTGAAACTGCTGCTGTTTTTTTTAGTTTTGACTTTTTTTTTATCACCATTCCCTTTTTGTAGCTGTGAATGATACAAAATTTAAAAGTTATACAGTGGAAGTTTTTGGATAAGTTTTGTGTAAATGTTTAATTAATTAATTAATTGTGCATTTTGTAACTGGTACCCTTAGATAAGTTAATTGCAATTGTTTTTAATAGATACAAACAGCATCTATTGAAACTACTGATGAAGGAGTTTTAATCATAGTAAAAAAAAAAAAAGGTTGTGTTAAAGTAGCAAAAAAATAAGAATATTACATTTGTACCATCATGGTTAATAAGCGATCTTGTTATATACAATATCTGGCATTTTGGGTGACTAAAGGGGGTGAAAGAGTATCAAAGCATGGTTTATGGTTTAAACTCAGCGGCTTATTTCTATGAGTTTGATGTGCCGTCAACAGATTTCTACAGAAATCTGACGGATTTCTGTGTAGCTTTCATGTTATCTGACTTTTACTGGCTTCTTAATTTTTAAGATGAATCTAACTGAATGTTTGATTAGAAGAGATTTTCTTATGAATAAAGTAGTTCTCTCGTCAGAATTTGAGTAATCCTTAAACAGAATTATTTGCTTTGTCAGACTTCTCCAGATGGGTCTTATTGTCTATTTATTCTTTTAATTATGAAATAATTCTGAGTCTATATTTTTGCTTCTTTTAAACCTTTGAAACATGATACCATTAACACATTGTAAAGATGCAAAACAGTACTGATCCGCTATGTTCCTTATTTTCTACAAACCAGCTTCGGAATTTGTTTGTTTTTATTTGTTTGTTAAAGAATGCAGCCAAACGCAGAATGGATAAAAAACGTATAAAAAATGTTTCCTGTCATACAAAAGCTAAAAATAAAACAACACCACAAAGGAAATTAAGGAAAAGAAAAGCAAAAGAAAAGAAAAGAAAAGAAAATCATTCGGCGCTGTCCATGGAGCGCAATTTCTGCGCCTCAACGTAATTTTTATTAGCTCTTAATTGCTATATTATAACATTCCTATTACACTTACGAAAAAGAAAAAGAAAAAACAATTAAGAAAAAAAGCCCCGAGAGGAACATGGAGACTTACTTTGAGATGACAGGTAGAAGTCAGAGTTACAGGTGGAAACTTTTGCTCTTGTTCTTTCGTCTTTTTGGAAGGATTTTTGAGGACTGTTCCTCTTCGATCCGCTTTTCCTCTGCAGGTCGATGCACCTTGGTTCCACACACAGACAATAGTGATTTATATAGTTTGCCAGATCAGAGAAGGGAGGGGTTACATCGTGCGCGTTTGTGAAGGAAACCGAGGTGGGGAGAAGAAGCCGAATGCGTCAGATGGTGAGGATGATGATGGAGGCATTACTAATGCGTCGGTCGCGCAGTTGGTCCCGTGTTTCTGATCAAACAGATGACATTTTGGGCCTTGACATTCAGAAAACTTCGTTGGTTTTCGTGAAATTAAAAAAAACAACAACTACCGATTAGGATTTCCGTACACAGAAAACGTCCTTATGGCCCAAACTGGGTCATCAGATCATCACTTACACCTGTCTTGCTCTATAAAGTACGATTATCTTATCCCCCTAACCCGAACCTCACCAAAGTCATTCCAAAGCAGAACGTGCAACCTGTTCATCAGACGCAAATCAGATGCACTTTTGTTAATGTTTTTTCTTGTTTTTTGGACGTTTCCTGGTTAAATGCTGGTGATTGGTAGGTCATGGAGTGACTTTGGTCATGTGGGTATGGGAAGCATGGTCGTAAGTTATAACAGGAGGTTTGAGAAGATCTAACAACCTGTAAAAAAAATTGGTCAGAGTTCTGACCAGCAGATGGAGCAGCAACAGACAGACAGACAGACAGATATATATCTAGATAGATAGATAGATAGATAGATAGATAGATAGATAGATAGATAGATAGATAGATATATATCTAGATAGATATCTAGATAGATAGATAGATAGATAGATAGATAGATAGATAGATAGATAGATAGATAGATCGATAGATA